ACAGAGGGCTGGCCAACGTGGCGGTTGGGTGTCACCGATGTTGGGACCTGCAGCCGTCATGGGTTGTGGGTTTCTTTCAGATTATCTGGAACGAAACGTGAGATGGTATAAACCTGTTACTGTTGGGAGGATCCGTCAACGGGCCATCACACGGTAACCAGCGATGCAGGGCGTGGATTAGACGGCAGAGGTGCCATTCCCGCTCCCGTTCCCGTTCCCGCTGCAGTCCGTTTCGTCACCAGTCTCAAGCAAGCGATCCGGCTTCAAGTGCACCACCTTGGGGCCGCGAAATCTCAGAATGGATTTCCCATGTGTGATTGGTCGTTTGACGGCTCGTGTGAGTCATGGTACGAGAGCTGAATGGAAGCCGCGAGCAGAAGGGTTTCTAAGTCTTTTCCTTGCAGCTTGTATCGGCTGCGTGTTGTCATGATTGCTGCCACTCTCCGCTATACTGGTACGTAGTACTGTATAGCTCTCGCAACTGCATTGCCAACTCAGCAATATCGGTCTTGTATGCCACGAACTGTAATCTCTCGCCCCGGACGAGCCTGGTCAGGACTGGATCGCCTGTCGTTTCCTCGCATCTCCAGGATATGAACAACATTGTCTAGATTCCGGGTTGTGTCGTCTTGGCCTTGGGCGAGGAGGCTGACGAGCCTGGACCCCCGGGGCCTTTGAGTGAAACTGAGGGTGTCGCCCAGTGCTGCGTGCGTGGCTCCAGTTCCCTTTGTGGCGGCCAGGCAAGGCCGGCACGGCCGGGTAGACGGGGAAGAGAGCCCGCGGTGTTCGGCATGGGACTAGCGAGTTTCTGTATCCCTAAGAATTGTCTAGCCAGGACCACATTAGGATTAGCCCTGGAGGAGCTGGGGACCTGGAGTCAGCACAGGGCGAGAACGTCAATAGCAATGGAGGCGGGTTGTGACTGTGGCTCAGGTACTCTAAGGTGCCTGGTGACTGTGGGAGAGATGGCGGGATATGCGAATCCTGGCAATCCTTGGCTGGAATAGTGAGGCATGGAGAAGCTGTTCTCCCAGGAAGAGAGAATCCACCTTGGAAGATGTCATATCAGTCAGAAGTTGCTCTCGGAGTCTGTTACTCCCTCCGTTCAGTGGCAGTCTTGGAAGATTGATGGGCAGGCGGGTGCGGCCCTCACCCCCTCAGCGGGCAAATCGAATAAGGCCGATCCAATAGGAAGCGATCCAATGATTGCAAACCGAAAAGACGGGTCGGCATCTTAACGCCCTGGACTAACGTCTCGACTGGACAGCAAGGTATGTAAGGCACGTACCTTTATTTCCTGGCAGAGACCCAAAGAGCGACAGTAGTAGCACCAGCATCGGTTCCACGTCCCTGGCGCGATGCTCTGCCAGGCAGGGCAGACTCCTCATAGGTCAGAATCTCCGGACATGTACTTCCTCCATCCCTTCTGTTCTCGAGGTAGGTATCTTTGTGGCCTCGATGGGCGTCGAGCTACTACCGGAGGATCAGGTAGGTACATGTGTCCATGCTGGGCCGGCGACCACCTGCTGTCAAACAGTGCAGGTAGATGGGCAGTAGATCAGGGCAGCTCCCGTTCAAGCGTTTCGAGCTAAGCTAAGGTACCTAGCCAGGAAAGCATAGGGCAACAAGGTACGTACTCTGAATGGGCGCATTGTAATCGTAGCAAGGGAAAGACTCAAAGCAGACAAACGTTCGCCGGTCCCTTTTCACGTGTCAAGAAGGGGGGACGAGGATGGGAGAGCAAGGACAGTGTTGATGCGCCCGTTTCCACTACCGGAACCCTTTGCCTTTTTGTTCTTTGTACTTCAATCTGAAGCATGGCTCCGGCGCAACGTGGACATGGACTGGAAAGGAGGGCGACAGTCAGTCGAATCATCAGTCAAACCTCGCGGCCCGAAGCCGTCCCCCTCCGATTGGAACTTAAACAACAGCTTGATCCAATGCAAGCTGTCTGGAAAGCTCCCCCTGCATCCTGTGCTGAGCTGAGTTTGGGACGACAGCAACGACAACGTGTACTCGTATGTGTGGTGTTGTGTCCCGGAACATTGGTACCTGAGCGGAGCGCCCTGCGTGGACTCGTAGAGGATGTCACATGTCCCCAACGCACCTTTGACCATCTACCATCAAAAGCCACCAGATCGTGGCACCTGATATCGTGGCACCTGGCCCAAGAGTCCTTATCTTTGGTTTAGCATGAGGTATGAGTGTATGCGACGAGGAATTCCAGACAGCAGTCAACTAAGGTAGGTGCTGGTCAAAACATGCCCATGGATAAGGTAAACAGCCCGGCTCGGACGAGTGACTTTGTCAATCCGTTTCTGGCGAAAGTCACCTACCGTTTGAGGCTTTGAAGCTTTAGGCAACTGAGATGCGATAGATGAAACGAGCTTGGGATGTTTGGCAGGTAGGCAGGCGTTACCTTGCGCGTTCGAATGTCCTGAGGCATACAGGCACACGCACACACGCACACGCACATACTGCTGTCGTCTTTCCTTATCTCCCGTCCCTTCCAGCAGGCGCCAGTACAACAACATACTTTTTGGAGTTCCATTGCAAAGCAAGGCAGGTACGGAATGCCCTTGGACGTCCAGAAAGGCAGGGGTTGATTGGGTAAACTGTAATGGGTGTGGAGGACCCTGAGATGGGCAAGGTGCTCCCCGACTCGGAACACGTGTAAAGGTACCTCGAGGAACTGGCCATCAGGAACCAGGAGTCGCTAACACGTCCAAAGGGTAAAAAGAGGTTGCGATTTGGTGTGCTAGAGTGTAACTGCTCGGGTTGTCCCATTCAGCCTGTTCTCTTCCTCCCTTCCTCCCTTCCAAGCTCAGGCCGGCCTGAACTTTGGATCCGGGATACTTCCAGAGTCCAGAGTCAAATCCGTCGGCACAACTCACATCTCTTCCATTGTCTCCTTCCCTTTGATGGCCATGTGATTCCTGTCTTGATCAGGACCAATCCCTTTTTGTTACCTTTGAATTTCCCGCCTTTCCCTTGAGACGGGTGCTTACAACCAACCGTTCCCGGTTACTCCATCTTCCCCTCGACTCTCTCTAATTCGCTCTTTTCCTATTGGCACTCCCACATTACTGAACCGACAACCCGATTTTGTGCGTGTGTGTGTGTGTGTGTTTGTGTGTCTCACCTTCCTTCTTCTCGTCGACCTATCTAGAGCTTGTCTAGAACATTAGCCCAAGTCCTTCTTCTCTCCTCCCCCGCCAGAGTCCCAGACCAAGGAGACATTGCCACCAATTGCAACGACCCTTCCCATCGCGTTGGCGCGCCTTCCCCCAACTTTGCCTGCATCCCGTCCTCGTTGCCGTCCCCCTGTCAGATGGTCATTCGCCCTCCTGCACTCTGAGCTGTCAAATCTCGTCTGCTGTGCCGACGGACAAATTCAGACACAGCGCCTCCTATACCGCATCGGGGCTGTCGAGCTTCAGGGTCCAGCTGAAAAGGAACAGCCGCAGGCCGCAGGAACAGGGGCATTCGGCTTCGAGGCAATCACTTCCGTTTGGCGACGGCTGCGCATCCCGCGGCTTGCTTCCAACTCACACGCACTCTCACGGTTGACAGGTAGACCTACGGATACAGCTTCCATTGATATTCGTTAGGCTCAAGGACAACCGCCCCAAGACAACCATACGAGGCTCAAAGGACCCCCAGACGCAGTTCGTACTTATCCAGTTCCAGCTGCTTCCGCCGCCCCCAAACCAACCCGACCCTTGATCTGCTTGCCGATACCCACCCACCCACAGACACACCCCTTCTCCCGGCTGATCGAGTGTCACGAGAGCGACAGACACTGGAGACGGATAGAATAAAAGGCGGATCGGGCATGGGAGGTACCGCTGGCGCCGCCCTACCGAAGCAATTGAATTGCTGAATTTCCCCATTATTGACTGCGATCCCCCCCAGTCGCCCAAAACCCACAGTTCCACACCCAAGGCAGGCCAGTCCAGCCCAACCTCTGCAAGTCTACAACAACAGACTACCGACGAATACAGTATTCGTACCCTGCAATACGGTGCGGGACGGAGTACCGATTACCCTCACCTCACTTCCTCATCCAACCAAGAATCCGCCCTTGAACCGGTCACTGGTTGGTACGGATACCTCGCCCACCCGCTAGACAACCTCCGAAATTCACCTCTGTTCGGCTGACCACCAAGTACCTTGCCCAAGATTCCCTTTTTCGTCGCCCCGGTCACCTCTTGCTCCCGTTGTCGTTGTGCTTCTCCGCTGCGGTGCACCTGAGGTACTCGTACACATAGGAAACGGGAAACCCGCAACTCTCATCCCATTTTACAATAACCACCCCATCGCCGCCCTTTCTGCCCACCATCTTCCGTCCTCAGTCCTCTATCCTCTCCCTAGCGACTCCCAAGCTCCCAACAAGGAAACAACTTTCATGCGTCGGGCTGGCCATGCCGTGATCTGGATTGCGATTTCGACTCACCACCAAGCCTCTCCCTCGACACACTGCTGGACGCTATTGCACCGGTACCTAGCATACGAAACGTCAAAGTAAACACACACTTCCACATACGAACTCACCAACGGCACCAGTGGAGCACTCGTCCCTGATTCACTCCAGGAACGGACGACTCTCCGCCACCAAACTAAACCACCCACCCTACGCGCGAATCTTCGCATCTCGACATTCTGCCCAGGGCGGAAACTCGACCAATCGATTGCTAGGTAAATTTCTATTCGGCCTCGCTGTTTGGCATGCCTCGCTGTGGAATTCACCATCCCCCAAGAATATCCCACGGTTGAGGTGTCCCAAGACCAAGGCACAAAGAGGCGCCCGCACCAAGAGAGCAATTGCGCTAACAAGCCATCCAACAGCTTTTGCGTCATCCCTCCTGCGCACACTGCAACTGCGCATCAGTCACTCCCTGCCGGCAACCCCCACAAGATTCCATCCTACCACCGGTGTCGATGCTCCTTTTCTGGGTCTCAACCGCCGACTACCTCCTTCTTTCCCAAAAGTCTTGATCATGCTCGCCTCCGACTCTTTTCTGCCATCGGCCTTTACCGACCACGATCCCAACATGCCGCCCTCTGCTGTCATCTCTCCACTGTCCCTCAATCGAATGGCAAGCTCTTGTTACTTCGACAACAGATCGACAACGAGTACCAATGGCAACTCTCTTTACTCTCACCAATCATCCGGCGCTGTGCGCTATCCGCCTCAAACGCAAAGCTTTCTTTCACCCAATTTACCACCTTACGGCATGAACGGCATCAACGGGATCAGCGAGACGATTTCCAGCGATCAAGGACCAAAAGCCGTTTCGCCGACCCATTTCGAGCTATTCAACGGCCACAACCCATCCGCATTTGCGTCGACGGCCAGAGTGGCTCCGAACGGCATGCCTCACCCAAGATCAGTCTCCGCCGATGCAGCCTCAGCTCCTGCGTCTGCACAAATCATTCGGCGGCTCGCCCAGCAAAATGCGCGGATTCGGGAGGCCTGGGAAGCCGAGCGCAAGTACATGGAAGCAAACCGTGAACGTGTCGAGGAAGTCTACAAGGAGGAGCGCATGATTATGGAAGACGAGCGTCTTGCATGGGAGGCCGAGAAGAACAACATGACGGAGCAGATCCGCCGCCTCAAAGAGCAAGTTGCAGTGGTCGACAACGACAAGATTCGGCTGCAAGGTGCGCTGCAAAGAGCCGAGCTAGAGAAGGCGGGCAAAGTCGCTGGCGTCACTGTTGCACTTCCAGGAACAGGAACGCGAGGTGGGGCCGACGGCTCCACTGAACTTTCTTTCTCAGGATTCTCCCCCTCGAACGGCATTGGAGAGCGGAGGCCAACTAATGGCTCTGCCTCAGCCTCCGTTTCGCCAGCCCAGATCCGACCTCACTTTATTAGTCCTGGCAGTTCCCGGATTTCTCCCTACAGGCAACTAGAGTCTTCGCCATTCATCCCACTCAACCCCAACATGCAGCCTACAACCGCCGATCCCGTCGACTTCCTCGGCTCCCCAAGGGACGAGGAGCCCGTCCCCATCGTCGACATTCAAATCATCAACCCTAAGCTCGAGGGTGTCCCGCTCAAGGCACCCGCCATTCAGAAGAGCACTTTTATCGACTCTGGCATGACCCCCCCGGAAAACTCGAAGTGCTCTTCCAGGGCCGTTTCCCCGCCGACAGAGTCTGGGAAGTCTAGACGCAGTCCGACTCAGGAACACACTCTCGAGGTACTCGCCGCTCCCGAACCGGCCAGACTCGTCATGCACGCCGGCCATACCCCCAGCCATTCTCTCTCCGTTCTGGGAACAGCTCCTGGCACAGAAGTCGCGACAGTCGCCGACGGTAGTGGAGGGTCTACGCCGACCCTGGCTCCGACCGACATGAGCTCGAATCCGGCAACGCTGTATGATGTAAGGGCCAGAGGGGACTCATCCGATCTTCTGGAAGACGCTCACGGCGGTATCGATGAGCCCCTACCTACATTGGAGGCGGCAGACGACGTTGGTTTGAAAGGCCCCCTGATGGTTCGTAACATCCCTGCTCATGACGAAATCTTCTTCAAGCGTTTGTCCGAAAAGCTCGAAGACGTGAGCAGCGGCGCCGACGCCGTCCCAACCTGCATGAAGGTGCCAACCCCAGAACTTGTCGAAGAGCCTTTGGCGGCGAAAGAGAACCTGTACGCAGCGAAGATGGATGCAGATGCCGCTAGCGACAAGGGCTCAATCAGCGATAGGGCCTCTTCCGCCGACAGAGACGACATGTCTGAGTCTCAGAGAAAGCTCGAGGAAATCGATGTTCCTCTCAAACTCAAGCAGAGCACCAACTTTGGAGCCCCCTTGGGCGCCATGTTCTAAGTCTCAACGAATGATCTAACGACACTCTTCCTCGCAGGCGCTTAGTCCTCCTTATCACTACAGCCGAAACCCGCGCATAGACTTTTCATAATCTCCGACCCCATTCTGCACATACAATCCGCGTCTCTGTACAAAGTTGTGGACTTTCTACACTCACTTGGCTTTAGTTTTTCACAATAGACCGGCCCCTACACCTCTTTCCTATGTATATTCCCACATGGTGGGCGGCTTGCTTTTCAAATCCCCGGCGACAGACAAGATGGACGGGGTCCTTCAGTGCTCCGCGGAGCAGCATCACTCGATTTTTTTATGGACGGATTTCACGGTGTTAACACAAAAATGCACAATACCCCCCCGGAGGATTGGAATTCCTTCTCACGAATTGGCTTGGTTGTTTTTCAAATGGATAAGGTTTCGATGGAGGCTCATACGCCTAGGTGTGGGTGGAAGGAACAGTAGGGGCAATCGACGCAATAGGCGTGATGGATGAGAGGCAAAGGGGGCTTACTCCTCTGGCCAAAACATCTTCAAATTGACAATGCAGCAACTTGACGGACGACCGGTGCGCGGTGTCTGGAGGTTTAGTGCAAGGAGCAATGTATAGACATAGCTAACCAAAGAAGAAGCATTGCTACCTCGGTCTTGGACCGTTAGTTGTCAAAGTACACATCCATTGTCCATTTGTTGACTTTATGACCTGTGACTGCTGGGTACTGTTCATCCAAAATTATCCTCGTCGCTATGGCCGGCGGATGCATTGCCAGTAGACGCTTGAGAACTGGGTACGACGTCTGCGACATGGTAATATCCAGGAAAGCGGAAGTCCGGGCTGAACTAGCTGTTCTGATTCATTACGAGTCGGTTTTGAAAATTGTTTTTGTTGAATACCAGACGAAACCCGAGTTTCTTCAGCAAGGCACGCATGACAACACCGTCAAACCCCCCCTACTAGAAAGCAGCTGGCCAAGTTGAACGCGAAGTTGAGGAGATAACTGCGACATGGACTGGCATAGGCTTTCAACGTTGACACCAGACCCTTGGAAGAACAAGATGTATTCGCCATCCTCCTGTTTCCGAAGGCGTGGGTGGGTGCTCGTGTCGTCTCGTCAGATGCAGGTTTACTCGACGCCCAGCGAGAGAGCCTCCCAATGGGAAGATTTGAAAGTAAGCTGGGTATGAACTGCGAGTAAATCGTTGTTTGGGCATTGGGCGTTTTGATAGTTCGGGGTCTTGACTTGGCTCGAGGGGGTCATTTCTATACTACACTGAGAAAGGCAAAGGTCTCGCGGGGCTTGTTTACCGGAAGATGAATTGGGGTTGCGGGAGACCAACGACGTGGCTGTCTTTGCGCAGCACGAAATGTACAAGCTCTCGGTAATTGAGAGTTGGGGAAATTGACGTGAAGAGCAGTATCTCGCATCCCGACCTGGTTTGTATGTGCTCTGTCTGCCCTTTGTTAGTTTGACTTGTAGAAAGTTCACTCGGGGCGCTTGGTATCTCCAAGGAGTAGCTTGCAGGGACTCTCAGCTTGTTATAAATAGATCTGAATTAAAAAGCAGCTGTAACGTGCTATTTATATACTGCTACTTCCAAGTCATTCTGAAGAGGGAAAAACTGTACTTTCACAGCTGGCTCCTTGATGTTGAACTGCTGCTGTTTTCATTCCGTGAGGAGAGGTCCGTTACAAGGGTAATCTCAACAGGTTTCTCAAGCCGCGGGCAGCCCAAAAAATACGTAGAAAAAACTGTTATGATGTCAGACAGTCAGTCACAGTATAAATATCAAAGAGATTAAAAATTGATGAGAAAAGACAAAAGTTACAGGACCGACCGCGGTTCGAACGCGGGGCCTAGAGATAATTGCGTGAAACTGCAATCTCTCGCTCTACCACTGAGCTATCGATCCTACTCAAGTGATAAGGAATTTGAAACATTTCAGCCCCTAACAATCGCTATGCTGATCCAGCCCCACAGTGTCGTCGCCCATATTGAGTCACTTCGGCCAAGGTACTTGAGGTAGGTACTTTCTGGAGGACATGAAAATATGCAAGGATGTCATCATGTTTTCGTCCGGGAGAGTTGTTCTGGAAGGCAGAATATTCGTCGAGTCTCCCCGAGGTTCTCTGGAGATCCTTTCATTGACGCTATGCAAAGGTACATTCCCCCGGTGTCGTGTCAGAGACGCGGGACTGCCAAGTCAATCACAACCGCGGTAATCCAATCAACCAAAGACTCTCGATGGCGACTGCCCGCTGTCAGTGCTTCGATGTCCGACTTAATTCTCCTGCTAGTGATTGAAACACCACTTTTGCATTCTTTTTAATTAGATTTGTCGGTATCAATCTCGACTTTGCGGTTCAGCTCGAGTCTCGAGCGCCCTGTGAGACGATCTACACCATACCGCTTACACCTCTCTCAGCTTCTGTCTATCAGTGTGATTGAGGAACCTCATGTGCCGTATTTGCAGAGAGCTGTGGCAATGATCAAACCAAGTGGCTGGTGCAACTGCAAGTGCAATTGGTCTATCTATATGCGGGAGCTGAGTACTAGCAACGACAGAAATGGGAGCAGGTGTATTTCGACGAGTCATCGGCAACTATGATATCTACTAGGAAAGGTGTCGAGGTTGAAGCAACTCAGCTGAGCAGACGGCATACGAGCCAGGTATCAAGGTTGGGGGAATCCATAAGTGACTCAGCCACTCGTTGTAGGTATAGTTTCTTCCCGCTGGAGTTAGAGTCATTCATACGAAGCCGATGAAGCACACCTCAGCCTCATAATCTCCCTCATCCACAAAACTGCAGCTCTTTACCTACTCTTAGGTAAATGTCAACTGCAACAGTCACAAAGCGAATACACTACGATGCGGGGTCACAGCGATTGGTTTTACCATGTCCCCAATCCCCCCCCCCCCCCCCCCCCCCCCCCCCCCCCCCCCCCCCCCCCCCCCCCCGCCCCCCCCCCCCCCCCCCCCCGCCGCCCCCCCCCCCCCCCCCCCTCCCCCCCCCCCCCCCCCCCCCCCCCCCCCCCCCCCCCCCTTAGTGAACCTGACTGCGCCGCCGGCCGGGTAGCGGCGGCCTCCGGTAGATGTTAGCGTTGCAGCGCACCCCTGGCATTGGTGCATTCCGCCTGCGACAGGTGCAGCTCTCCCCCGAATCTGGACCGCCGACCCTGCACCTCAGACTCCTCAGTTGGGGAAAGGGATCCACAACTCCAGGGCGGTGGAATTCAACATCACTTCGTTACTCACCACGAACTCTAACTACATTCCTTCTTACAACCTCTTTCTCTCCTTCTTGGTACTGCTCTATCCTGCTACGAGATACATCTCGTATAGGTTCTTTCATCTCATAAACTCATACACTTGATACCAGACTAGAAGATAGGGACACAAGCTCGGGAACCTATCCAGAGAGCTGTCACCCCTCCTCGCCCCACCATCCTCACCCTCACTCTCAACCTTGAATTCGATCTCGAAACTAGCCCATCATGACGACGAGATACAGAGTAGAGTGTAAGCAAATTACCTTCTCATCCATCCGCTGGGACGAATATGTGAACTAATGCTCGTACAGACGCTCTTAAGACCCACAGACGAGACCAATTCATAGGTACGGCAGCATCCGCGAAGCTCATGGAGTCTCCTGACAAGTGTCTAGAGAACCCCGAGTTATAGCTTCATCAACAGCTGGCCTCTCAGTCAAAGGAAAAATGACAGAGCGAATATGATCAGCGATCTGGCCGGCAGCGAAGTCGCTGTCCCGAGGGCCCCCTCCCCCCAAAAAATGATAGAAAAAAACGCACACATTGTCTGCCCCTGCTGCTCTGGCCTCCCATGGAACCCGGCTCCCCTCATCCAGCAACCTGCTTACAGTTCTCATCTCTAGAATGGATCAAAGGTCTCCTGGCAGTTCCATTCGTCCTCTACTCTCAGCCGACTGGGGTCTTTGACACGCGAGCGACGAGCATAGCCCGCATGGCAGAGGAATCCCACCGCCGCTACGCCGAAATTTTTCGCGACGTCGAGCACATGATTGACGACCACAGTAAGCTTCGTCCCCAGTCTCAATTCACTTATTCTATCATATCTCATCCACACGCTGCAATTCACGTGAACCGAATTAACACACCTGAAGTAACCCGCCAAGACGAAGACCTCCCCTCAAAACTGAAAATGCTCGTTCCCTCCGCGGGGCCCTTCTTCACCCGCCTCCCCCTCGAGGCCGCTTTCACTCACATGGACGCCAAACGCCTCATATCCTCCCGCCGCTACGTGTCACCCTCCTTCAACGACGTACGCCTCATCCTCAACGCCGCCCAGATCCTCGCCGTCACCAATCCCTCCAACGTCGTCCCGCTCCAGCTCGCCACCTTTGACGGAGACGTCACCCTGTATGACGACGGCGAGAGTCTGCTCCCGACCAGCCCTCTCATCCCCCGCCTCCTCGGTCTCCTCCGCCGCGACATTAAGATCGGCATCGTCACCGCCGCGGGCTACACCACATCGGATCGCTACTACGAGCGCCTTCACGGTCTCCTCGACGCCATCGCCGCCTCCGACGACCTCACCCCATCCCAGAAGGAGTCCATCGTCATCATGGGCGGCGAGGCGAACTACCTCTTTGAGTACTCCCCCGAATCTCCTCACCTCCTGGCCTCCGTCCCCAAGGAGCGCTGGCTCACCCCGGAAATGGCCGCTTGGTCCGACGCCGACATCGCCGCCCTCCTCGACGTCGCAGAGGGTGCCCTGCTCGAGTGCATCAGGACGCTCAACCTCCCCGCCACGCTCCTCCGAAAGGACCGCGCCGTCGGCATCATCGCGACGGACCCCTCCATCCGCATCCCCCGCGAGTCCCTCGAGGAAACCGTCCTCGTCGTCCAAAAGATCCTCGAGCTCTCCGCCCTCGGGTCCCCCGCGCAAGCAGCGGGGCACAGCACCACGATCACGACCTCCCCTGACGGAAAGAAGACGTCTTCCCGCCCCCGCGTCCCCTTTTGCGCCTTCAACGGTGGCCGCGACGTCTTTGTCGACATTGGCGACAAGTCGTGGGGCGTGACCGTCTGCCAGCGCTGGTTCGCCGCCAAGGCGGGTCGCGCCGAGAGCCCCATCGCGGGCGAGAACACCCTGCACATTGGCGACCAGTTCCTCAGCGCGGGTAGCAATGACTTCAAGGCCCGGAGCGTGGGGACCACGGCCTGGATCGCTAGCCCGGGGGAGACGGGGGAGCTTCTGGACGATTTGATTGCGCGGATTTGAGAAAACAGGGGCTTCTTTCTATGCCTTTGACTTGGAAAAAGGATGGGTTGATGGCGATGTTGGGGGAGAGAGTGTAATGGGTGAGAAGAAGGGAGGGAGAGAATTCCCGAATGTGTGCCGATGTACGTTCCCCCTCGCGAGGAGCGTACCAGCAACCCCGGACTCCACGAAGCCTCGAAGTTATGCAAATAATGGCCGTGAGAAGGCTCTGTTTTTCGAGCTCGAGAGAAGCTTTCGTCGCTGTCGGGGAACGGGATGAAACGGATTGACCTACCTACCGCAAGAGAAGGGGAATGGCAGTGGGCCGTTGACACGGGACTACCTGGACAATGTTCTTCATTGGGGGCATCATCATCCTCATTAAGCTGGAGATTTGGAGGGGTCAGTTAACCCGCTGCGTCTGTTGATAGGGTAGCAACTGTTTGATGTGGTTTTGACTTTGGTCATAAGGGCGTCGAAGGTGGGTAACTGGGAAGGATCGGGGGGTAGGTGATGCCATATGCATATCATAAGCTGAAATAAAGATTAAGTTTAATATCATCCTTCTCTTTGATGGACGGATCAGATTGGTTTCACTCACGAGAGGAGACGGACTCACTCGTAGTAGTGATTCAAAGACACGTTAGCTGTAAGTTTTGAAGAAGTGACGCTCGGCCAACTTGGAATACCAAGATACACCGGAACCAAAAATTTGAGGAGACAAGCCGGCCCAAACCCAGTCGCAAAGCGTTGGTTTCGGAACTTTTCTCATGTTCGTGGAACTTAACGAGAGGGGTTCGCTTGCCAATAGAACCGGGGACTCTTTCGCGCCTGGAGCTCGTAGAACGGCCGTCGCGCAGCAGCCCATCATCAAGGAGAACATCGACACCCTCTTTGAGAAGCTGCGAAACGCATCGCAGGACGATACGGAAACGGTCAACGTCGAAAAGTGGTTCAATGTTACCGAGTTTGATGTCATTGGCAATTTGGCTTTTGGGGAACCCTTTGGATATCTCGAGGACAGCACGTATCACCCCTGGGTCCACGTCATCTTTAAGAGAATCTAGAACATGGCCATTTTGACGCCTCTCAAGGAGCTAATGAATAAGTATGCTCAGGTTCGGGAGCTATCGAGGGAGACGTGCAAAACCTGCCGTACCTCTTGGCCATTCTGGACGAGAGCCTGGAAATATTCCCGTCGGTGGCTGGTCCCAGCCCACGTGCCATTGGTGAAGGGGGCGACACGATTCTGGGCGAGCATATTCCTCAAGAAGTAATGGACTCCCCTAGTTTATGGTTATGCAACCCTTTCTCTGTCGATCCCCGCAACTGTATCGGAATGAAGGCAGTACTCCTCCAAACGATTTCCTTGCTTCAGACGTGGGTTTGTTGCTAGTAGAGATCATGCTGACAGATGACTGCGTAGTCTCGCTTATGCCGAGATTAGACTGATTTTGGCCAGGCTGATCTGGAATTTCGACATTCGCCCAGCTGTGCACACCCCGTAATACTACGCTGAGACCAATGTCTACATTCTACGGGAGAGTGGTGGTCTGGATGTCTACCTGACACCTCGAGTATGAGAGGATGACGTTTACAGAGTGCTCCGCGATGCTATGCCGAGATGGCAGCAACCTGGGAGGGGAGATACAAGTCGTGAAGGCAGCAAGACCACATTCCATATGTCTCGCCTCATGGACTGTCAGCCATCCATTGGGATGCGAGGGCCTCGTTGAGAGAACAAGTCCGCATGTCTTGTTCGAACACTGCTGAACAGCACCGTTGTCAACCGGAGGCAGCCAGTGAGCAGTTCAATTGACGCGCCAAAACAATGAGCGTTTGGAGAACGCAACTGGAGGCGCTTCAAGAAAATGAATGGTAGACGATGAAACCTGTCCAGCCGTCCTTCCTCCGTCATGCATCCCACGACAATGGGAAGAGCAATTAGAGGCCCAAGGCAGGCAGACAATTCATGTTCCACTTGCCGTCAGTAGAAGCTCCTTCTCCGGAGTTCATCCGGACTCATCTCCGCTGCGCGTAGGGTAAGCAGTGCCAAGCAGCAGCTTCGTCTGTGCACTTCCATTGGTTCATCTGTGGCCTTCTCCAAATTTCTGCAAGCACCACCCTTGCATGTGGACCGAGGATTTTTGGCCTCAGCCCCCCAAAAATCCACTACTCCTGGGGACCTATATAACCTCGACCCCCTCCTCACCTTTGCTCTGTATCTCTTTTCCCTTCTTCATACTTACCTTCATGGGCGGTCTGGGGATCAAGAAATCCGGACCGCAGAGAGGGATGCCTGCATTGCACATCGCGGAGTAGACCTTTCTCGATTGTCCTTCGGGGCCATCGCTGTGGCAATTTTTGATTTTCACCGCACATGGTTCTCCTACATTTTCATTGTGTCCATACGCTGCGTGCGATGGCTCGAAGAAGATGTGCACCTCCCACGGTACCAGGAAAGTGCCACCTTGATGGCCAGGCGAGCAGGCTGCTATCCCCTATAGGCCCCTCCAACTCTGTTCCTGTCACCAGCACAGCAGGCGCCCCTCTAGGTCGGGGGGTCAGGTCAAGCTGTGACGTGGTGGAGGTGTTTAAGGTCCTACGCCAACAGCCTACTCGACGACAGGCTATGAGTTCGAGTTCGATTCCCAGCAAGTGCACCAGAGATGTAGCTCCCACCGGGGGGTGAACTCTTTTGTCGTTTTGGTCAATTTTAGTTATGCCCTTTTTTGAAGTTTTTGGTGATGCTTATTTTGGTGTTTTGACGCCTAGTCATTGGTGTTTTGAGACGGACGGAATGTGCATACAACTACAAACCAACGTCACCACCAATAGCCAAGCAGGGGTTGGATCGTTGCGCGCTATGTCAAGAGTATTTAGATGCATGCACGAGAGGGTCTCACAGAGCAACGTAAATGAGTCAAGATTGTCTTCGCTGGCCGACGAACCTAGGACACATAATGACTCTAAAATTGAACCACATCACCGTGATAGATTCTGAGGAAGCAGGATCGGGTGATCCATCGAATTATTGAAATTACCTTCGGAGCCTACGTCAACTTTGGCGATTTGAGGGGGGGCACCGTTTCGTGGATGAGGGGGAGCGTCTGGTAGGCATCTGACAATGAGCTTCCATCTCATTGGCAGGCCAGCCCGAGTATATATATGCATCTTCTGGCCTCAACCACAACCTTCAGCTTCCCATGGAATCTTTCGGTTCTGAACACCTGGTAAGGATCAAACAAGCAATGAGCAATTGCTCGTTCGGCCTCTGAATGTCCTCCTCCCTTGGCGTCTCGCAGACGCCCCAGCAGCTCCCGATATAGAATGGCATTAGCAAGTGCCTGTTTTGAAGCTTTTCCACAGCTATCATAGCTAAGCAAGGGATGGGTCAGTCTTTGTTTATAGATAGTAGACAGTAGGTTTCTGTACATAGACTGCCAAAGGGCCAATGAATGATGGGTCGTTCATGACATCTGGGTCCAGTCGGTGCTGGACAATTCGGCTTGATGATGTGGTAATCGACCGGAACATACACACCTTGGCGCCTCAGAAGTGACTGGCTTGCCTTGTTTCCCCTGCGCCGGATGTCGCAGAGGCAGGTGCAGACGGCAATGGACTCATGGAGAGGAATGGGCAATTGGGGTTGCCAGATCTTTGTGGATATTCATATTCTTTGGGGATTCCTTGAGTAATACCCGGCACTAGGTTCCTTGCTTCCGTCGTCGGTCTCTAGAGCATCGGCGGATAGGGATATTGTCTGCTCCGTCAGGCAATCTTCACGATGCATATCCAATGACGCAGTCAGAAAGGAACAGTGGCCGATAGAAGATATAATCGAACCAATTAAAAGGTTGGAGGGAGAACAGTGGGTTGGAACGAGGCAGTAGAGGAAGAGGAACAGACAATGGTAGACCATGGTGGTGTCGAAAGCAGTCCTTACCAGGAGGCATATGCCTAACTTCTGGACTTGACGTGAGCCAAAAAGTCAATACCCTGATATATTGATTAACTTCTTGTTCTTTACCTTGGTTTAGGTTCAAAACTGCCATTGCTATGTCAAGTACTGTCACTTTGAAAATGATATGCCGCTCAAGGACATGGCTTCTCAGAGGCTGAGAGATGTTGTCAACACCAACGAGAGCGAAGGACGACATACCCGGTTGATTTTTCAGCACCGTTTCTGCTTTCTGCCTCCATGAATCTATTCCCAGAGTCTGCGCCCTAAGAACTCTCCCCTTTAGGTGCTATACTGCAGGGTTCTCGGCTGGGTACCCAGACGACCTACGTGTGGGGATTGGTGACCACGTTGAGTAGCTCACCTCGGGAAGAGAAAACGATAAGTCTAGGGTATTACCTTCAATAGCTCTTAATCATCGTTTCCCATTCGACATGGCCTCCATCCGAGATCCTTCTACCTCATCGTACTAGCGATGTCGAGCACAAAGTTGAGGAGTTCCCGAAATGGGTTCAGCCAGATGCGTGCCCGGGTCTGGCAAGTAACGCGGAAATGTGTACCTAACAACGCACATATATAGATGTTGCGGGATCAGCTCATCTAACGTCAGAGAGCCTGGGCCGAGACTCCTCCGTAGAAGAGTGCTGAGGCCAACGTCGGGCACCATCAGTTCAAGCAAGAGCTTCAGCGAAGTACAACGGGCCAGACAGAAGCTGAAACAAAATACCACGCTCTAAACGCACGAAAGTCTTCCAGCTTAGGATTCATGGAAGCTTTTTCAAAATGATCATTGCTAATTTTAGCGCAGATCTGCTGGGAGCTCATTAGAATGGCGGAGGCGTGGGACACATCATGACATCCCCGTTGCGCAACAAGTACGTCTCCAAAGTGGACGCCTCTCCTGTTGAAGATTCTAGTCTCTGCCCTTCTCAAGATGCCTGGTATTCCGTACATAAATGACCTTGTAATGGTGAATGGGAAAATTCAAGTCCGTCTATCCAACAGATGTGTGCTTCAGGCTCTGAGTACCGGCTGGGATCATGCCTTGCTCTCAGCCTGTGATGCCGTTCAGTCGGATCAGAATATCACATCTACTGACTAAACTGTCGCATCGAATTACTGCCACCATCAGAGACCTATTTCTTGATTACATTCCTATAGATTCTTACCTTTCGTGGGACTAGCATAGCTTGAAATACCTTGGAATTGCCATCATCACTTGCACCAGTTTCGTATCAGAATAGACAGAAGAGCACACTGTTTCTCAGCCTGCGATGTCATCAAGTCGAATTAGATTAGCATATCTACCAACTCATATCACGTAGTAGCCTTCACCAGTACCAGAATCCTACGCCAAATCATATGCCTTTAAATTCTGCCGGCCAGCATGCCCCACACAGTTTAACCCAGCATCTGCATCCTCGCATTTCCCAACGTCGACGTCCTGCAACAGATTGAGAACCCTCCTGCCTCCGAGCATACGATGTCATCAAGTCGATATATATTCACGCACTAATCATTTCATCTCACTCATTCACCTCCGCCACTACTGGATTGCCAAGTCATGTCACAGTCCACTAGACTCTAACAGCCTGCAGGCTTACAGCTTCACCCGGCATGAAGGGCAATGTATTTGCCCGCCATGACTTATGAGAGCAGATTGAGAAAATCTCTCACTCATCACCCCACAGAGGCAAGAGAAAACGCTAAGGCCAAACATCCAGACCGTCGGTCCATAGTCCTCTTTTTGGAATGGTGAACAAAGGCAAAGGCATTCAGACCCAAAATCTAAACCATGTTGTGAAAAATCTCGTAGTCGTAAGCCTAACCTAGTACTTAGTTCATCCTGTTGTGTGTGATGATAATGTCGAAGGAGAGCAGATCATGTCAAAGACTCTTGTTCTTGTTCCCCACCCCGCAAAGACAAGAGAAGACACAAACACCACACATCTACACCATCGGTCTCTCAATCCTCTCATAATGAGAAAACTAAGGCACAGGAAGTCAGAGCCCCTATCCAAAATCCATCCCTGTAAAACTCGCAATTACAGGCCCAACGCAGCGTACCCATCTAAGCCATTGTACCTTGATCGGATCACAATAGAC